CTCTCTCTCTCTCTCTCTCTCTCTCTCTCTCTCTCTCTCTCTCTCTCTCTCTCTCTCTCTCTCTGTATATATATATCTCCAGAAATTTAAAAAAAAGTTTTTTCTTGCCAGGTTTCAAATGGGCCATACCTCAACAGTGAGCGGTGCTGGATGACCCAGGAACAACCTGAACCTTTATTCTTCACTGGACAATAAAAACAAAACAATTAACTAAATAGTTTTCAAGGCAATACTGAGACCTGTGATCAAAATATATAAAACAAATATAGTAATATATGAACAGAACATCTTAATCCTGTTACTTTGGATGTTTTTCTTTTGTACATAGAGCTGTGTATTTATTAGTGTTTCACTCAACAGAATAAACAAAATTTATCATCAAAACAAACTGTTGCCTGTTCTCTCTTCATTCCAGTTTTATAACGGAAAGTTTTTAAAGCCTGCCTGCTTCAAACAAACTCTGCAGCTGTCATTAGGAAGTGCTAAACAGACAGCAGCCCCCCCCCCCAAAAAAAAACCCCTTTGAGGGAAGAACCCCGCTGAGAGAGAGGACAGCTGAACCAGTCAATTGGTGCTTTTTTTTCTTCCTGTGTCAACCTGATTCATGGTTTGAAGTGCTTTCARCACAGGAACAAGTCCACAATTAGACCAATTTAAATCCACATCAAGAATACTTAAAAAAGGAATGGTAAATGGTACTGAACTTATAGAGCACTTTTCAAGTCCCTCCGGACCCCAAAGCGCTTTACACTAACAGACATTCACCCATTCACACTCACATTCACACACTGATGATGGCAAACTACACTGTAGCCACAGCTGCCCTGGGGCACACTGACAGAGGTGGGGCTGCCATGCACTGGCGCCACCGGACCCTCTGACCACCATCAGTAGGCAAGGTGGGTGAAGTGTCTTGCCCAAGGACACAACGACTGAGACGGCTGGACGGGGGACCGAACCAGCGACCTTCTGGTTCCAGGACGACTCACCTAACCACTCCGCCACAAAAAAGGAAGAGGCTGTTTTTATTTTTGTTTGAATACAAAGGTCACAACTCTAGTATTTTGTCAGTCAAATGAAAACAAACGGTACAAAACTGAAAAAAAATCTTTTATAAAAACAACTTTTCAAAAAACTTTTATTGTTATGCATTTTAAGTCATATGCAGAATTATCAATTTTCGAAATTAACATCAACTAAAGTCTCATAATTTCATCATCGTTTAATTGGAAGACCCATTTGTGCCAAAGCTTTTACATTAAGATATCATTTATGTTGTGAAGTGCACCAGAACCCCACAGCATGCTGCTGCCACCCCCGTGTTTCACAGCTTGCAAGCTTTTCTTCTCTAAATGATGGTCATCATGGCCAAACAGTTACATTTGTATTTCATCAGATCACAGGATGTGTCTCCAGAAATCAATGTATTTGTTCTTGTGTGCATTTGCAAATGTGCTCCGTTTATTTGTTAATGTTGCTTTGAGAGAAATATCTTCCTCACTGAGGGGTTTTTCAGCTGGTGCCTGTTCTGTGGATCCCTGTATCTTCAGCCGGCTTCATCACGAGGCCTTTTGTTTGTGATTTGGGGTTGAAAGGCACGTTTTGCACATTGTATATTTGGAACACAGAACGGGTCTCCTTCCTGAGCATTATTATGGCAGACATTCCTGTGCTGTTGTGTATAAATTAACAGATACGTGTGGCACATTCAGGCATCTAAAATTAAACCCAGAGCTGTGGAGGTCAACAGTTCTCTCCTCCTGAGAAGTTGCTTCATTTCACATGATTTTTTCCCATAACACAAAACCATGTGTTTAAGGTGCTCCTTAATGCATTCACAATTATGTCTCTAACCCACTGAACTTTTTACAGTTACTCACGCACATGCTCAGAGTCAGTATTTGAACCCATTGTGGTCTAAGGTCATAGTTATTTCCAGTTGGCTGAAGTACACTTGACAAACAATGTTCACAACTTTCTATTTTTTACCTGTGCTCTGCAGTCAAACTCTTGGCAGCATGACAACAATGTATATACAGCTAAATGAGAAATGCATTTGTATATAAAAGTCAATACAAAACAGGTGTAAAAATCCAAAACAATAGTGATGAACAACAACTGGRATTAACCATAACCCTGTTTGAGCATGTGGTGCCCGAAGTTACGCATGTGCAGAAGTAACAGTAAAATTATACGGGCCCAAATCCATGACATCATCATCTGGGCATTTCCAGCTTGCTTAAAGGCATAGTAATCTGAATGTACCTTATTTAATGTTGTGACTTTGAAGAAGTAATAAAACATTTTCCCTCTCAGTCTTCAGTGATTTAACAAGTAAAAAGAGTTTTTACTAACTGACCTGAAACATGAGGTTATTTTGACTTGATGTCAAACAGTTCTGTGTCTTTTTAAACAGTTGTTTGTAAACATCTGGTTTCATTTGTTCACACACTGGACCGTTCAAATGGAAAATATTTAAGAGCTTTGCTTGACGAACCAGTCCAAAACTGGTTTCTTGTTCAGGGCCACCCAGTTCGTGTTGGTCTTGATTCTCTCCAGGAGCTGGTCAAAGTCTGAAAAGCTGACTTCATTTTCGTGCTCTTCTTTAAATTGCAGCAGCTGAAGAGGAAGTGGGTGGAAACAAGGAAAATATTAATTAAAAGTGTTCATATTACTGAGCTCATTGTTTATGAAACACTGAACAGTTGGCTCATACAGTACCTGCTTGGATTCAAACTCAGTGGAGAAACGCTTGCTCAGCTCAGAAACTATCAATTCGAATGAATATGAAATTTCATGACTGGAAAAAAGTAAAAACAGCAAAAATCACAGATCATCACAGAGGGTACATAATTCACACATTTTATAATACGTTGTAAGAAAACTCACTCAATGAAGTGTTTCCAGTTTTCTCTAATAAAGTTCCAAACAAGATAATGGCCGATGGGCTTAGCAGCAATTTGAACGAAAACAGAGGTGATGTCCTGCTTACCGATCTTCTCTGGGTCCAGACAATATTGCATATACCTGGATGAACAAATTAGCTCTAATGAATGGTTAACACACACAAAAAAGATAATTTGACCAATTAAGACCATGTTACAGGTCAAGATAAAATCAGTAAAGCAAAAGGAAAATTGCAGCRAAGATTGCACATGTCTGACCTATTTATCAGCCAGGGCTGCTTGGTGCAGGACAGAGCATTCATAATTTTTCTGGCCTCTGAGGCGATTGTAGTGTTCTTATACATGCCCCAAAGAAAGTCCCACTCTGCCACTCCTCCTGCTGCGATAGCGCTGCAGTACACCACGGACTTCAGGCTCGGATTAATGCTGAGAGATTTGATAAAAACAGGAAACAAATAATAAGAAAATGTCCCAAAAATTATAAAAACAAAGCAATAGAAGGAATTAAATTGCACAAACAATAATAATAGCTTCTCTGCTCAATAGGCCTTTACCTGTTTTTTGCAGGATTTTTCATCCACGCTTTGAACCAACCAGTGGTCAGTTCTCTGCAGCCCTCCACACCTGTGCCGCAGGCCAAGAAGATTGCGATTTTCTGATTGTACCTGGACAGGGAAGGCACGAGAATCAGGAGAGCGCTCGGAATACCAAGCAGTCCAATAAATGAAGGCATRCCTAAATCTAAACGCTAAATGTTAAATAAAGGTTTTGCTGAAATAAATTTTATGTTAATTTGCAGATGCACCCTGTCTGAAAGTACCATAATAAAAGCTTAACTGTGTTTATAGAATTAAAAAACTCATCTTGTAGAATCAACACATTATTGTGACAGTTAATATCTCGAAAAACATATCTATGCTACATGTTATAGAAATATAAAGAGAGTTGAGCTTTTGTTATGATACAGGCAGTGGGAATTAGCATATTAGCTAAATATTTTGTTTCAGTAAAACTTTTAGATTTAACATTGAATAGATTTATATTACGCACTTAGTTTTGACATTTAGAAGGAACTAAATGTACTAAAAAGCGACTTTAGAAAATGCATATTACTTTTTAAAACATTGTTAGAAGCTAAATGTGACTTTTGTTGTTATATTTAGCTCAAACCACTTTACAAACTGCTTCCCATAGTGTTGATCTAAAACCTTTCACAAGTCTGCTTTTTCTCAGTTTTAATGTAGGGAAAGGTTTCTGAATAAGTATTGGTTTGGTTAGTCTGACTTCTGTCTGCTGCAGGTAACGTACTGACTGCTAATAGCACCTCTACAGAAACAATAAAAGAAATCTGAATGTATTTCTAAGAATGTAAACACATTTCTTGCTGTACAAACACTATAGTCTTTTTGGTTATGAGGTTTGATTTATGCATTTAGCAATTAAAAAACAAACAAACTGACATAAGAATGATCGCTCTCAAAGACTAATGCAGCATTATGCCTTCAAACATGCAGCATGGTGACGTCCTTATTCCTCACCGATCAGTGTGTTTATCTGGGCTCTTCGTCCAGTTGAGAGTCTGATCTCTGAAGTATTCAAACAGAGGAGTGACCTGTTTTTTGATATAGGCCTGAGGGATGAAGAGAAACTATTAGATGAATGTTTGAGGAGGCAATATATATATATATATATATATAATTTAATTTTTTGCATCTGAACTGCATACTGTATAATGTTCAGAGTTTYCACAGTAGTACAAAGTAGTCATCAGAAGTTTTATTATTTTCCAAACCTGCATGGGTCCATACACCTCACTGCGGTCAAACATGAGGAAGAAGTAACCCAAGTTACGCAGGGCTGTCTGCCAGGGCAAGTATTCAACTTCTTTATGTAGAAATGTGGTCGTCCTCAAGGCCAGGGTAATGTTCACCATGTTTACCCTGAAAATAACCATTAAACTCTTTAGAATTTAGGGAATTTAGGGTTTTATCCAGTCGACATTTGCTGCAATCTTTTGTTTAAAAAAAGGCCCCACCTTGCAAGATTAAATGCATCGTCAATAATCTGAATCCTGTTGATCACTGGGATGTCCTGTACAGGGAATGAAGATGTTTTAGAGGCATATTTAGTCCAACAGACTGTAGGGACATCTGAAAAAGTCCTACATAATCCTGTCCACATACACAGTATTTTTTACAAGATCTAAAAGATCTAAAAGTGTCACATTTTGGTACAATCAAACTGAGAGTGAGCCTACATTATACAGTAAGTGATAAGAACAGCATGTTGTCTGTTATGACCGAAGAGGTGTATTGAATAAAGGCGTTATGTACACTTCTGAAGACTGAACGCTGTTGTAAGAGCACAACGCCATATTGGAAGGTGTCAATGTAAACAATTTACCATGGCCAGAATTGCAAATAAATATTAGTTTTCAAATGGTTAGCTTCTGCCTGTAAGAAACATCATTTAGATGTGTGTGCCTTGGCAACYTGTTTTTGCCTGATATGATGAGCATTCGTAGCAAATGAAAACAATGGTTGTCAGTAGCAAACTTTTTATTGATGTGCTGACCTGAATTTAAAATGTCATGTTTACTACATTCAGCTTCACCAGCTTGTCCTCGCCCTGAACAACATGGCCGCTCTCTCACTGAATGAATCACGGGATAACGCCTCAAGACAATTGGTTCTGATGGTCAGGTCACAAATGAGGAGAGGACCCCACTGGAAGCTACACCAACAGTACAAAAATAAGCTACATAAAAAACTCCATGAAAGCACAATAACCTTAAAAACATGCAAGAAAACTGTTTCCTAAAGGTAGAAATAATGAGCAAACTTGTGTTAGTACTTTTTTTAACCCTGTCCTGTCCGAGGACCAAGGTTAGGCAGTTTTACTTTCACAAGCGTAGCATTATGGCTTTCACCATGATGCTCCACTTATATTTAAACTTTTTTTACTTGTGTTAGTTCTTAAAGAAAACACACCTAAACATGGAGTACAACCAGGCACTGAAAGTTCACATGAAAGACAATCAAGCAGTTGCACAAGCTGTCTAAAGATAATGTAATAACTACTAAATGTAAATCTTACTTTGATAGAAACACCAAGTAGTTGCAGGTACATGTTGTTCAGATAAGGTTTTAATGCCTGCAGACTGGTTACAGTTAAACATTATAATGTATCTGTCTTTACCTGATGGTTGGAGTTCAACTTGGCAAGCAGCCGCTCCCAGTTTTCAGCATCATAATTAACTCTGTAGAACCCCGTCATATTTATGTTGGCCAACAACCACTCGCTTGCACCAAGAACCACGTCTGAGTTGTTCGCTGTTGGGATGGAGATAAAACATGAGAGCACATTTCCACACAGTTTTCACCACATTTACTCAGACTTAAAGTGATTCTCACCTTCCTTGCTAAGGAGCCAGTACTGATGTTCGGCTCGACCGGTCTTACTCCAGGAAATTGGGACGAACCACTCGTAGCTTTAACCCCAACCATCCAGGCACGTTAGAAAATGAATGCACAATGAGAACAAAGTGAATTTAGTTGACCTTTATCTCCATTTACTCGGCTTTTTGACCTGAATCTACTGAATCCATACTTGAACTCTGAATGTCTGGTCACCGCAGACCCTGAGTCCAACAGAAAATGCTGCTGAGTGATTTTCCCTGTCTGGGTATCGATGGTGACCACTGGGAAGCCCATCTGCAGAATCCAGCGGTTCATAATATCCTCCACAGAGTGGGGAAGTGATATACCAGCTTCATCTACTGCCTGATAACAAGAAACATAATATGTAAAAAAAAAATTTGAGTATGTGTGTGAGTTGTGTGAGTATTTAACATTGAAAATGTGCACCCTGTTCATGGTGGAGGGGGGGTATCCAATATTTCAAAGTTGTCATCATTAACAAAACATTATATTTCGAGAAAGTAAGACACATTAATGGTATTGTCTTACCATCTGTATGTGCTTCCACAGGTCTTTGTAGTCTGTGTTTTGATACTGGAATGCCTCTAAATACATCTGCAGACAGATTCAAACTTTTTCGTTAAACTCGTTTCATTTCACTGGCAAAAAAGCAAAGCTTCTGCTATGAATGCAATAATTACAAAAATGCTGATTTCTGGACAGTTTTATCGACAACAAGCTGATGCTCGTTAATTATTCCAACTCACACTCAGTCCTTTAGAAAATACTTTTTCTGTAACAAATCCTGAGAGCATTCTGATGACTGCAGCTCCCTGTAATGAAAAATCAGAGACTCTTAGCTGTTATAAAAACACGTCAGCTATGATTGTACAATTACTGGAGTCTTTTAATTAAAAACAATGAACACTTTGTGATTTTGTTTCCAAGGTCCAAAAGAACCTGTCGGGCTTACATCAGAAAAWCACAAGTTTGATGTATTTTTGTCATGCTTCCTATATTTTATTGTGATGTGTRATTCCTGTTAAAAGTGAAAGATTTGATGCTTTATTCAACAAAAGAGTAGTCTTGTGCTTAGCATAGATGGTGCAAATTGTCAAAGGTACATTTATTCACACAAACAAACACAAAAAACCCTGACCAAACAGTTCATTGTTGAGTTTGACTGGCTTTGCTGCAACTGTGGCTCTGGTGGGAAGACAATAAAACCTGAGTGTACAGAGGAAGTGCAAGCTGTGACAAAGTTTCTGACATGGTTTCCTTGGTTCATGGCCCAGTTAAGGCATGCCAGCTTAAAGGGATCCATAATTAGTTCTAACATTAGACCTTATTTGATAAACATATATTTTAGCTGTAAAATAAARACTTTAGAAACATTGTAGGCTGTTTAGTTTTTATAAATTTTAAACTAAAAGTTTAAAAATATATTACATGGACGGGGCCATTTTATTTACATGCAAAGCATTCTGGGTAAATGATGACGTGGATAGGTCATCGGTGCGAGGCTGCCAGCGAGCTTTATCCACCCTGAAGGTTAATCTTGGACAATATCTGATGATTGGCTCTTTTAAATGAAACCAGAGAGCGTTGACAGGGAGGAGAAGGTAGAAATGACTCAGCCTGTAACTRAAAATATGGATGGAGGACAACAGAGCTGCTTCATGGAAGAAGAAC